ATTGCTGGGGCCTTATCTTCAAAAGACTTCCCCACAATCACGTGTTTTTGTTTTCTACTCCCTTATGATTTTCCTTTATCTTCCTTATGATTCTTAATAAATACTCAGAGAGGCATGGCTTGAGGCCTTCAGTCATGGGAACTGCTGGCCCCCTGTTTTTTTATGCTCTCTGTTCTATCTTGTTCTTGGTAGTCTGTCTCATTATTAATAATTATAAAAATACTTTACCCTTGGTCTGCAACACCTGTCCACGTGCTTAAAGTATGTGAGACGGAGCTTCAAAATCCTTGCCTCCTAGGAGAAACTTGGTTTCACCCTCTCCAAAACAGACCTATTTGTTCTCCTGGTGGTACATGGTATGTTCAATACTCTTCTCTAGCACCACACCTCAAAAGCATCAACTTGGAGAGCTCTGGTGGCCTAGTGGCAAGAAACTGCAATCTCAGAGATGCACGGTTTGAATCCACCAGATGCTCTGCTGGAGAAGGAGGAACAATCTTCTCCTGTACCAGTCAGATCTGATTTGACGGTACACACAAAAAATAATGAAATAACAGAAATTTTTTAAAAATTGTTTTTTTTTAAAAAGCATCAATTCTTTACCTTATAGGTCTGGATATTGTTTGGCTTTAAAGTTGAGCCACTACGGAAGAGTTTTGCTCCAGGTTCAACAGGGGACTAAGAGTTACAGTCTTGGGGGGGGGGGGTGTTCAATCATCTATAACAGAGCAGTAAGCCTGGCCATATTGATGTTTTTAGTTTGTTTCCTCCCACTCTACCCAGGAGCTTGTACTATGATCCCGTTTACAATGGTCAGCAGCAGTAGCACCTAATTTTTCTGATTTTGCTTGTGGAGATTGCTGTTTGAGTGGTCCACTATACTTTTGTATTAATGGTTCCTATGTTCCTTTGCATACCCATGGTGGACGTGTTTAGTGGAGCTCCCCGATTAAAACAAGTTTGGAAGCAGGAGTGGCATCCACTTCTGAAATAGCTTGCTTCCGGAAACTATGAACTTGGAGAAATGATGAAAGTTATGCAAGAGTTCAGGTCTTTCGTTCATAGGGTCACTATGAGTCGTCTACAACTTATAGCACTTAACAACAACTACAACAACATGTATCTTTGTTTTTTTCCTCCTTTCCTTTCTTCTGCACAGAGACACCAACATTTGTACTCTAAATGGCTACTTGCAACCCCAGTCAAGACTCACCAAAGGAGGACATAAAAAAATTGTGGACTTTGTTATGCTGATTGAGCTTAAGGTACTCGGGGACTATGGTCCTAGTACCCTGGAGCCAACGACTCATTCTCTCAGGTTTTTTTTGGTTACAATTAAAAATTTTATGCAATTTCACCCACTGTTGGATGTATATACTGTTAATATTATTATTGTTGTGTACTGTAGAGTCTAAATCGACCAATAGCTGACCCTCCAGCAGGTTTTTGGAGGCAGTTAATCGCACGGGAGGAGATTCCCCATCTTTCTCCAACAGAGCAGCTGGTGTGGCCTCAAACCACGTGCCTTCGGGATTGCAGGGCAGCTTCTTGCCACTAGACCACCAGAGTTCCCTGAATGTATAAATGTCACCTACCATATGGTAATGGGTGTAATCTCTTCCAGCTGCCCGTATCGGTTCTTCTTGCCTGTCTGCCTATAAATCCACTTGTAGGTTAGAGTTGCTTATGGTTGGTAATACAGGATTGTATATGGAATGGTGTTTACCTTTGTTGACTATCTCTCTTGTGCACCCACCTGTGTCTCCTCTTTCTTGAATGATGATGTGCTGATTTCCCCCTTTACTGTATGTTATCTTTCCTTGCACTCAATTTAAGCAGGAGTGGCATCCACTTCCTAAACAACTTGCCTCCAAAAACTATAAATTTTGATAAATGTTGATAGGTGTAGGGAGGCCTCAGGCCTTTTGTTCATAGGGTCACTATGAGTCATGCTCGACTTGAAAGCAATCAACAACAACAACATTAGTGTTTTCTTCCTTCCCCACCCCTCCCCTCCCTGGTAATCATAAAAAAATATTTCTGTGCGTCGTCTCTTTCCTTAGCTTTTCATTACCATGAACTCACTTTGCCCATTTGTGACTTTTTTCACTCAGCGTAATGATCTCCAGATCCATTCATGTTATGTAGTGTTTCCAGAATTCTTTGTTATTCTTGGATGTTGGATAATATTGCACTGAGTGTCTGTATTGCATTGTGTGTTTGTGTTTGTTTATCCACTCATCTGCTGATGGGCATTTGGGTAGTTTCCATTTCTTTGTTATTGTACACAATAATTCAATGAATATGGGTGTGTACCACCTGCGATCCTAATTCTCCTTTGCCTAATAGGCCCACAGGTTCCCAGGATTAGGACAGAGACATCTTTCTGCTGCCACTGTTCTATCCACATCTTCTCCAGAAGAAAAGAAGTAGATCTTAGGAGGAACAGCCAGAGAGGAGGAAAGTAAAACATCACAGAAGCCAGAGAAAGACAGACTCTGAGGAGGGAGTGCTCTACAGCAAATAATACTGTTACCAGGTCAAGCAAGATAAGAACTGAAGACAGCCGTTGGGTTTAGCATCCTGGAGACATTAAAACTTATGCTGCTGAGGGGAGCTCTGGTGGCCTAGTGGCAAGAAACTGCAACTACAATCCCAGAGGTGCACAGTTTGAATCCACCAGATGCTCTGCCGGGGAAGGAGGGGCAATCTCCTCCTGTACCAGTCAGATCTGATTTGACGGTACACGCACACAAAAATAATAAAATAAATTCAAAACAAAACTTGTGCTGCTGGGAACTCAGACATTTTTTTACATGATTTTGCCATCCGCCCCCTCCCCCTCCACATCTTGGCCCTAAGTGTGTGTCACCGCCATGTTTTACACCAGATCATATTGTGGGATCCCTGTCCCCCCTCTGTCTTCCCACTCTGAGCCGCGTTTGACATTTGTAACAGGCGTGTTGGTACCTTCCCACCACGGACCTGGAGGGCAATGAGAAGGGGCTGCTGCTCTGCCTGGCCAGCCCTCAGCCCCCTCCTCTTGCCTGCCTCTAGTGGAAAGGCTGTCCCCACTGATGGGCCCCCTTTTAAGCCACCAGGCCTTGATAAAAATGAGCGTGACATGGTGCTTTTTTAATTTTTTTACAAAAAGAACCAGTGTCAATCCACAGACCCTCTGACAACCCAGGCTGGCCAGGCCAAGCTAGCAACCTTTTCCTCAGACTCAAGAGACCTAGTGATGGGGGGTGGCCTAGCTGTCCTCAGGGGCAGGGGTAAGCCAGACCTCTGGGGTACTCACAGTCCCTTACCAAAGGGTTCACCTCACACCTCAATCTACTCCAGCTGCTGGGGAGGCCCTCTGTCCTTGGCCCCTTCCTCTGACTGCTGTCCTGTCCCTGAGCCTCTGAATGTCCCCTCTCTCCCTCCCACTTGAGCTAGAGCAGGTGGCCCCCAGAACCCAGCCTGGAGGCTACAGGGCTACCTCTACATCTCCTGGGTCTGTGCTGGGGGTGCCCTACCCCTCAACTGTCCTTAGGCCTGTGTTTTTCTCCTTGTAGACGCTCCAGCCTCTCCATGTATTAAGGCATCCTGAACCCTCCTCCCCTTTGGATGGGAAAGGGGCCTTGCAGGGACCTGTTCCTACTCTCCCCTCCCCCAAAAACAAAATAAATAGGATTTTTTTTCTTTTTTTTAAAAAAACAAAACACCACAAAAGCCAAAACAACCCTGTGTTGGGAAATACTGTGACAGAAGCTAGTTTAGGAAATGCCAAGCAGAGCAAAGGAAAAGTGAAGAAGTGGAAACATCTTCTGTGCAGGGGAAGACAGGAACAGAAGGCTAGTGGAGGAATTCTGGGTGAGAGATTTGTTGTCATTTCTAAGATTTGAAAGACAAGTAAGTAACAGAGGAAAATATGTGTGAAGAGGGGGAGGGCAGGTTTGGAGGTGGGATTGTTGGATTGATTCAGGGCTCAGGTTTTGCCAGGCAGGTGCCACAACAGGACAGAGTGGCGAAAGGCATTTACGATGCTGAGGTGATGAAACTGGGAATATAAGGAAGGCAGAGAGAGAGCGCAATTGGTAGAAGGATTGATAGATGGATTAGGAAACTGCCATAAACTCGAGGCTGGGGCTTCCACTCAGGCAGGAGGGAATGACTGAGCAAATGGGGGAGACACAGTCTGAATGATGTCTGAAGTATTAATTTCAGGGGAAAGGCTGCAGGGATTCCCGGATTCACTAGCCTCTAGGTTGGCTATCCCAAAGCTTACAGTAGATCTTTATACAGAGGCGCTACGTGTTACTATGGTGACCTCGTGTGCTTCAGAGCAGAACTGCAGTCCATAAACCACCAAACCTTTCCTCCGAGGAGCTTGGGGATGGATTCCAACTACTTGGGCCATGCAGGGACTCCACAGATTGCTGTTGTTGAATCTGTTAAAGCAAGCAAACAAACAAACAAATAAACCCCGTTGGTGGGTCGCTTTTGCCTCCAGCGAGCCTGTTAACCCATTGCCAGCCCGTCAATTCCAAAAGTAGCTCCTTGGGGTTTCCGTAAACCTTCGCGGGAGCCTTGTCACAACTTTCTCCGTAGAGCTGCAAGTGGGTTTGAACCTACAAGCAAAACGTCTAGCAGCCAAATTCCTTACCTACTGCTCTAGTCGAACTCCTAGTGACTCCGCTGGTTTTGCTCACATAATTTAAACAACTTGCACGGCAGAGATTCCACTCCCTTTAATGACCTGTTAAAACTACAACTCCCATCGTGCCCCGCGCGCCCTCCGGTCAAGGAGCGTCCACGTACCCAGATAGACTTTAACAGTCCCAGCATTCTTCACTCTATTTAGCCCTCGATCCAGTTTGGAATAACCAATTAGCTCAAGAAAGGCGGGACCACCCGCCCAATCAGAGTGGCAGGCGGGAGCGTGCCAGGTCCTGCCCCGCCTCTGCCCCGTGTCGGGTTCTCTTGGACTAGCGCCACCAGCTGGGCAAGAAAACATGGGCGCTACCTGGAGGAGCCCTGGCTGGGCGCGGCTCGCGTTGTGCCTCGCCGGCCTCGGGCTGTCTCTCTACGCGCTGCACGTAAAGGCGTCTCACGCCCGCGACCGGGACTACCGCGCGCTTTGCGACGTGGGCACCGCTATCAGCTGCTCGCGTGTCTTCTCCTCCAGGTGCGCACAGGAATGGAGGGCGTGGGGAGCCCGGGACCGGGCTCCTTTGGGAGTGGTGCATGCAGGATGTGTATTTGGGAGCAAAGCGGCTTGAGGAAGCGCTGCCGGGCCAATTGGGTGTGCACGGGGCCGGGGCTACCCAGAACTGCTAGTGGCTGGCGGGGGGAGGGGGAAGGAATGGGACCGGTCACTAGAATTCTTGTGGATCTGGATGCTGAGAAATACCAGAATAGCAGCGTCCGGGCCGCAGAGAGAAGTGGATTAGTGGTACGGGGAGATAGCTGCACTTGAGGATGGAGTCTGGGGTCTGGTGACGGATAGTCCCCATACCTGGGGACAGGATGACAAGGTCTGCCTGTCCTTGAAGGCCAGGGGTTAATGGCATGACAAAACGCTTAGGGGGTAGTGGGAGACCTGTCAGCAGCTCTGAGATTAGGGAGAATCCAAGACAGATTCCTACCCAGAATCGCAGTCTCTCGTAACTTAGTACAACTGAGTTAACGGTTACTCCAACTTTTCCATCTTGAAAATGACATAAAATCTTGGATGAAAAGAGGCCTGTGGAGGATCCCTGGCCATGCGTGGCCTGGAGATAGAGGAGTATAGGGACAGGGACATGACATCCTGATGTGTCCTCTCAGGAAGTCAGTTACCTTTGGACTTGCGGGGGTGGGTGGAAATGGGGCCAGCTCAGGCTGTTTGTTTGCACCAAGTCCTCCAGGACAGGGCCTTCAGCACTAGGTTGTAGGCTGCTGCCTCTAACCTGCTTCTCTCTCCCCAGGTGGGGTCAGGGGTTTGGGCTGGTGGAGCACGTGCTGGGCCCTGACAGTGTCCTCAATCAGTCCAATAGTATATTTGGTTGCATCTTCTACACATTACAGCTGTTGCTAGGTGAGTGCTCATGGGGCCTTGCCCCTTCCCTCCTGGCCAGTCCAGCCCCATCCCCTGCTGTCTAGGTTGCCTAAACCAGTCATTGCTGGACTCTTTGGGGTTGGGAGGGGAAGGAAGCAACCAGGGTCTTCCAGGTAGTTTAGTACTGTTCTAACTCAGAAGGGTTCTTAAAAGCTTCCAGAATCCCATTTTTTGGGAAAGATTTAGAGATTCCCTTTAAGGGGGAATTCCTCTCATGTAGACCTCAGCAAGAAATTCAAGATTGGGGTTCCAGGGAATCACTGAACAGATCATGGAGGGGCTTCTCAGAACCTTTGTTTTCAGAGGCCCTTCTCTAGTAGCCCCTTTTGTTCTGGGCAGCACCAGACATCACGGGAGCCTTCAAAAAAGAAGCCAGGCCCTGAAGTCTACACCTGCCCCTTCTCTACCTGCAGGCTGCCTGCGGGGACCCTGGGCCTCCACGCTGCTGGTGCTGAGTTCCCTGGTGTCTCTAGCTGGCTCTGTCTACCTGGCCTGGATCCTCTTCTTCGTGCTCTACGATTTCTGCATTGTTTGCATCACTACCTATGCCATCAATGTGGGCCTGACAGTGCTCAGCTTCAAGAGGACCCAGGAACCCCAGGGCAAGGCCAAAGGACATTGAACCCAGACAGACTACTCTGCCCTGCTTTGGCCCAAGAACCATGCCCCAAAGAGCCATGTCTGGGTCCCTAGAAGCCCCACAACCTGTCCCCACCATTCCTCTGCACAGGACAATGGACCAAATGTCCCCCCCATCCCTGTCCACCACAGTGCCTCAAGGCTCTGACCTCAAAGGCTCGTTTCCAGAGCTCCGCTATTGCATGGGGATGGGGGGTGGGGGGATGCCGGTCTAAGCAATAAAGTTTCTTAAATAAATGGGCCAAGTCTGAGCCATGTGGGCGAGGGTCATCTGTCTGCCAGGGTCCCCAGTGCTGGGCCTTCCCCAGCCTTCCTCCTCTGGGCCTGGGAAGGAGATGAGTCAGAGGGGGAGTGGAGGGCCTGCCTGAGAATGATGCTCAGTCTCAACAGTAAGGTGTGGAGTCAGCAAAGCCTGAGGCGCAGTCAGCCCCCACCCCCAGGAAAAAGCTGACAGGTCGTCCATGCTGCCCATGGGAGTCAGGCCTCATCACCTGGGACAACTAGGCACACATCTGCAAGGGCAAGCTGTCCTTCTGGTTCTGAGCATGCTTGCTAGAAAGTGCTGCTTATAGTCTATCCTTAAGTCCCTCACAACCTAGGCCAGTTTCAGTAGCTCTGCCGGGCTAGGGCCAGGCCTTAAAGGTTTTTGGTTTTGAACTTTTCCACATGCCAAGCACTGTTTAAGAACCGGACATGTATTGACTCCTTTCACTGATAACTACAATTGCTGTCCCTGTTTTGCATGTTGCACAAGGAAACTGAGGTACAGAGAGGCTAGGTAACTTGCCTAAGACCACACAGACAGTGCTAGGGAGGGCGACCTGAGTTCTCAGGATGGAATCCACCTGACCCCGGCATCTATGCTCTTTCTCTGCCTATAGCTGCCTAAGTGGCAGCCCAGGGTTCCTGTGTAGTCTCAGTGTTCTGTCTTTCTGATTCTAATTGTTCCATCACCTTTGAGAAGCAGGTGCCCCAGTTTTGCCAGGGAGAAGGCAGAATCCAAGAGGTTTTGGGATCTGCTGAAGTTCCTTGAAGAGAGAGACCTCATGCTTGGGAACTTGGAGGGATGTTGAAGGAGAGAAAGACCCTCAGCCAGGTGGATTGGTCCAGTGACTGCAGCAGTGGACATGAGTGTGTCAGAGATTGTGAGGTTGACCCAGGATAGGAGAGGGTTCAGATGTGTTGTTTAAAGGGTTGCTATGTGTTTTACTCAACTTGATGGCACCTAACACCACCAACCACAGCCCAGCCAATAGCAAAGAGTCCAGCTTCAGGTACACACTGCCTCTGTAGCAGGGATGGAGAGTGTGTGAAACCCTCTCCACCCTGAGCCTGGGAGAGTGGCAGGGGAGGCTGAAATGAAAAGTGAGGAGTGGAAGGGTCTGCCTGCTGTCCCCTCCTAGGCCAGACATGCTGCTGGAAGCGGGTGTCGTAAAAGCCAGGCTGTACTCTCTCATTTTTGCCACCAAGCTTATCAGACAAGCCACAAACAAAGGTCACCCAAATAGTAAGTGCTAGACCTGGGATTTGACCCCAGGCAGTCTGACTCTGTGACTGGGGTCCAGAGAGGCAGGCAGAGCCCAGGAGTGAAGAGCTGCTTCTCTCCCAGGAAAAGCCAGGATACCTGACTCCAAGCCACCTGGGGGCGGAGCTGAGGAGGAGCCAGGGAGACCCAGGTGGCCTCTGAGAACTGAGTGCAGGCGGCAGAGTGGCCTGGAGCAGCATGCAGCAGAGCTGGGCAGCAGGGCTGCTCCTCGCCGAGGTGGTGGTCCTCATCGGGGGTGAGCCACTGTGTGTCCGAGGGGAGGGTAGGGGGTGGTTCTCTGGCTGGTGTGGTGATGGTCAGGGGCCACCCCCTGGCCCGGCAGCTCCTGCAGCTCGGTGTGTGTTTAAGGGGGCTGCCTGCCACCTTGCCCATCGGTTATTGTCTGGCTGTGGGTCTTGCAAATGGGTGTGACTTCCTTGAGACCGGGTTACAGCCTGTGTAGAAATTTGTGTCTGTGTTCTGTGTGTTCCTGCCTGTGTGTGTCCTGATGTAAATGGTGCCTTTCTGCCTTGATCCTGCTTCCAGAGTGTCCTCAGGCAAGTTCTGAGCCCCTCTGGCCTCAGACCCTCCCCTTCCATCTGTCCCCTCTAGGATCTCGGATTTTCAATGGCTCTGTGTGTGTGTGTGTGTGTGTGTGCGCGCGCACGCGCGCGCACTGACAGTGAAGAGGCTGGTGGGGTCTCTGGCCACTTCTGGGCAAGGGGACACGTCTGAGTCTTCAGAACGAGGGTGAGGCAAGTCTTGGTAGGGCAAGTCTCACTCTTTTGGGGCCCTGAGCACTCCATGCAACACAGGCCTGTAATCCTCCTTCTCAGGTCTCCACGGCTGAGAGGACAATTAGGCTAATGCTGTCTGAAGACGCAAGCTGCCTCCTCTGACTCAGCGGCCGGGGCAGAAGTGGGGGTTCCATAGCCTGGAGGAGGCTGAACCCCAGGCCTTGCTCCTTGGGCCCAGGAGTGCTGAGCACAGCAGAGAATTAATTACCGAGTCTACACTCTGAATAGGTTCCAATAAAAGCTGTTTCTCTAGCTCATATAAATATTTTCATCCTGGGAGGGGCTGGTAAGATAGCCACAAGTCATAGGCAAGAACTGGTCCCCTCTCTACCCGGGCAGGTAAGGCGTCCCCCACCCCCATCTTAATTGTCTCTCTCTTTCTTTCCAGGTCTTCAAGCAACCCAGTGGGGTAAGCTCAGGGTAGAGGGGAGACTTGGGCCTTGCTTGCTCGGCTTGGGATGCGGGCAGGTCTGGGGGGGCCTGTAGTCAGCCTGACCCAGGCCTCTCCACAGCCTGTGGACAGCGTGGCCCTGGCCCCCCTGAGCCTCAGGAAGGCAGCACGGTGCCTGGCGAGTGGCCATGGCAGGCCAGCATCAGGCGGCAGGGACTCCATGTCTGCAGTGGCTCCCTGGTGGCAGATACCTGGGTCCTCACCGCTGCCCACTGCTTTGAGAAGTGAGTCATGTCCTGTGGGAGGGGCACACAGGGTTTCTAGCTTTGAAGGATGGGTGACTACCCCCCAGTCTCCCCAGACTAGGCTCTGCTCCTAGAATAATAAAGACTATTTATTGAGGATCTACAGGTCGGTATCATCCAGTTAATCTATGTCTCATGGTAGATACTTTACAGACAAAACTGAGACCAAGGGAAGGGAAGGTTGGTGCTTAAAACTCAGGCTGATGTTTGCTGTTTTCTTCCACACGGCGATGGCTCACATGGTCAAGTCCCTTGTACTCCCTGGGTCTCGTCCCTCCCCTTCCAGGGCAGCAGTGACAGAGCTGGACTCCTGGTCGGTGGTCCTGGGCTCCCTGCAGCAGGAGGGGCTAAGCCCAGGGGCTGAGGAGGTGGGCATCGTGGCGTTGCAGCTGCCCGGGGACTACAACCACTACAGCCAGGGCTCAGACCTGGCCCTGCTGCAGCTCACCCGCCGCACCACCCTCACGCCCCTCTGCCTGCCTCGGCCCACCCATCGCTTCCCCTTTGGGACCTCCTGCTGGGCCACTGGCTGGGATCACAGCACCAGTGACAGTAAGTGCCATCACACACTGGGCCAGAGCAACCCTCCACATTCACCCAGCACCACTCCCAACTAGCTGGTCCCCATGGTCACCACCGCCCCCCCCCAGCCCAATCCAGCTCAGCCCAGTCTCTCTCAGCTAACAGGACCTTGCGGAACTTGCGCCTGCGCCTCATCAGCCGGCCCACCTGTAACTGTCTCTACAACCGGCTGCACCAGCGGCCCCTGGCCAGCCCGGCCCGGCCCGGCATGCTGTGTGGGGGTGCCCAGCCTGGGGTGCAGGGGCCCTGTCAGGTCTGAGGGGGAGAAGGGCCGGCTGGGAGGAGCTTAGTCTTGGGCTGGAGGCTAGACCCAGAGGGGCAGACAGAAGGGCTGCGGTTGGGGGTCCGCTGGGACCTCAAGTGTCTTTCCTGCCCTGCTGCCCACTTCAGGGGGACTCCGGGGGTCCTGTGCTGTGTGCTGAGCCGGATGGACACTGGGTCCAGGCTGGAATTATTAGTTTTGCATCAAGCTGTGCCCAGGAAGACACACCGGTGTTGCTGACGGACACAGCTGCCCACAGCTATTGGCTACAGGCTCAAGCTCAAGGTGCAGCCTTCCTGACCCAGAGTGCAGAGATCCCAGAGATGAGTGATGAGGACAGCTGTGTAGGTGCGTTTGGGGTAACAGGAGCAGGTGAGTGGGTGAGCCCAGGACTGCAGGAGGACTTGTGGGCAGAAGGCAGAAGCCCTAGTGAAACCAACCTCAGCTTGGATTAGGGAACTGACGTGGCTCCTTCACTCGTTGCCTCTTAGGGATGAAGCTATGCTAAGGGTCTAAGAGCTTATGTCTGAGGAAGACTGATGTCTGAGGTCTGGTGAAGGTTTTGGGGAGGAAACTGTAGGCTTTTGGCAAGGACCCACTGAGGTGGGTGAGTGCAGAGCTCCCACCCAGAATTCCAGCAGTATGTGACTAACATGCAGATCTCATGCAAAATGATTCCTAATGAGGAAATTATCCTGATGGTAAGAAAAACACTGAGAGCCAGGAATCTGGGACCAGTCCTGGCCTGGCAGGATGCGGATGGTGGAGAGTGATGGGCTAGGCTGCTGCCCTGGGGCTGGGGCAGAGCATGGGGGTTAAAAGCTCAGGCTTTGGTTTGAATCCCAACCCGGCTACTTGCCTGTGGTTACAAAGCTAAAAAGTCACTTAACCTCCCTTTCTTCACTGGCAAAATGAGGTTCCTAAGATTCAAGTCATGAGGGCACCATGGGTGGCTGAGTGCCAGGCGCTATGCCTGGCACAGGGTGAGCCTTGGACCAGAGGTGAGCTGCTGTGATCTGTTTCAGCTTGTGGGTCTCTGAGGGGAGAAGGCCCACGGGCAGGCGCCCCCTCTCCATGGCCCTGGGACGCCCGGCTGAAGCACCAGGGGAAGCTGGCCTGTGGTGGAGCCCTGGTGTCAGAGGAGGTGGTCCTGACTGCTGCCCACTGCTTCATCGGGTGAGCTCTGTGCCCCTCCCGCCTGTGCCCTGCCGGCAGCCCTGCCGCCCAGTACTGGCAACGTTGCTCCGCACAGGCGCCAGAGTCCAGAGGAGTGGAGTGTAGGGCTGGGGGCCGGCCCGGAGGAGCGTCACCTGAAGCAGCTCATCTTGCACGGGGCCTATACCCACCCAGAGGGGGGACATGACGTGGCCCTCTTGATACTGGCCCAACCCGTGACACTGGGTCCCAGCCTGCGGCCTCTCTGCCTGCCTTACGCCGACCACCACTTGCCTAATGGGGAACGTGGCTGGGCCGTGGGGCTGGCACACCAAGGATCAGGTACGTGGGACCTGAGCACCAGCCAACTACCCACCCAGCTAAGGACCGCTGGGACAGTCAGATCTTCTTCCTTGCCTGTAGATGCCAGCCATCTCCTGACAGTGCCCGTGACCCTCCTGGGCCCCAGGGCCTGTAATCGGTTGCATGCAGCCCCCAGGAGTGATGGCATCCCCATTCTGCCTGAGATGGTATGCAGCAGTGCTGTGGGTGAGCTGCCCCGCTGTGAGGTGAGCCCCCCAAGCTTACCCCTGACATCTCTGCTCATGAAGAGATGGACTTCAATCCTGGCCTTGAGCCCTCGCCCTCACCTGGATCCAGGTCCCTTGCCAGCTGAACCCTGAAAAGCCAGTGACTTAACCCTACCCCATTCTGTCTGGGAGGGGAGACTTCACTTAGTGTCACCTCCTCCCCGACAGGGCCTGTCTGGGGCACCACTGGTACACGAGGTGAGGGGCACATGGTTCCTGGCCGGGCTCCACAGCTTTGGCGATGCATGCCAAGGCCCCACGAGCCCTGCAGTCTTCACAGCACTCCCAGCCTACGAGGACTGGGTTAGCAGCTTGGACTGGCAGGTCTACTTCTCCGAGGAGCCAGAGCCGGAGTCAGAGGCTGAGACCGGAAGCTGCCCTGCCAACATGAGTACGCGGGCTAGGGGCATCCCTGCCAAACCCCCCACTTAGGGAAAAACTATCCTGACCCACCTCTACCTGCCAAGGGACGGACCTATTTAGAATCAAATTCTGGTTCTTAATCTCAAGTAACGGAGCTCTGGTAGCCTAGTGCTAAACTGGGTGGGCTGCAATCCCAAAGGCACGCACTTTGAATCTACCAGTTGCTCATGGGACAAAGATGGGCATTCTCCTTTTGTGCAGTTTACTGCCTCTGAAAATCAGCTCTAAGTTCCAACTCAACAGTACATAACAAGTCATTATGTGACTTAGAGTAGGCCTCTTGAGACTCGTTTTCTCATCTGTCACGGGACCCAAGAACAATTTTCTCCCACTCTCTTCCTCTAACAGGCCACCCCGGCTGTTGACAGGTGGTGCTGTGATGACAGCAGGATGTGAAAACAGTGAGGCAGTTCCTGCTTCACTGTCCTTGACCCTCAGCCCCCAACGTGCAATCCGTTGCTCTGAGGCACAGCCCAGCCGAGGGGCCTGTGGGAAGGAACCTGCCTAAGACCAGACACTGTCCCTGCTCCCCACACAGCCCAAGCTCCGGCGGACCACCAGCCCCTGCAGGACAGGGAGGTGATGCCTACGGATGCCCGTCTCTGCTCTCCGACGAGGGCACCCACAGCGTCCCCTATTCTCCACTCTCTTGCATAAATGACCACAGCAGAGGGTTTCAAAAATTTCCTTTTTAGGGGGGAGCAATTTTCCTTTTTTGAAACTTAAATAAATTGTTACAAAATAGACTTTAGAAAATAAGTTACAAATTATAGCAAAAGGCTCCCCTTCCACAGGCTCCCCTTCGCCCATGGCTCTCTGCCTCTCCCTGGGGTTGAAACTTGGCTGGTAGGGCCCACCCGAGACCGTCAGAGGGCAGAGCTGGCTGGTCAGAGGGCAGAGCTGAGGGAGGGAGACCTTTCAAGGGCAGGGACATGAGCAATACCCCACTCCCTCCTCAGGAAAGAAGCCAGAGCTAGGTCTTCTTCTCAGAGGGAGGGGAGACAGTAGTCTGGGGACCCAAACTACTCCTGAGTGAAACATGGAGATCAAATCCTCCCCCCACCCACCCCTAAATTCTGATCTTTGGAGACTTGGCGTTCAAAGGGAGAAGCTGAGGTCTGCAGGCCACTGGGGTGAAGGGTCCAGGAGTGGAGTCGGGGTAGGTGGAAGGGGCAGTGGCGAGTTCCCTCTGCCTGCCACTGGTGCCACTGGAGCTCCTGGAGGGAGAGAGAGAGAGGTCACTGACTTAAGGGACAGACCTCAGGTACCTCACACCTACCTCCCACACCAGGAGGTCATTCCCTGGCCCCTTCATTGTTTCCCCAGAACTGGCCAACTGGCTCCTCATTCATTGAGTCAGAAGAAATCTTTTATTCTGAAAACCATCCCTTCAGCCTTTAGGGAACGTCACCCACCATCTGTCTTCTCTCACAATCTCTGCTCAAAGGTCACCCACCCTTGGTTTGCCACCAAGAGTAAAGGGTTCTGGGAGAAGCGCCACATCTCTAGGACAGTGGGAGCAAGAACTCTGGGCTTGCTGAGGGTACAAGCCACACCATGCTGCCACCGCCTCCAGCTGGGTTGGGTGGAGGCAATTTTACAAGCAGATTGTCCATCTGATAGAGGATGATAGGGGCTAATGACTGTTGTTGCCACAGCTGGGCCCAACTTCAAAGAAACAATTATCCGTGACTCAGGCCTCCTGGTTAAAGAGAGGGGAGCTTGGGGCTGGCGGAGGGGAGGCAGACAGGTGGAAAAGGTGGTTCCACTGCATCTTAAAAGGAACTAGAGGAAGGAGGGAGCCAAGTATACAGGCAAAGGGGTGAGAGCAACACAGGCCAAGATGCAATGCAGAGGACAGAGACCGGGTGCCAACCAGTGACCCAGTTTCTATGGCCAAGTCAGCAGTGAAGCTATAAAGCAGTGCAGCATGGAGTCGCCCCCCACGCCCTATTTCTCACACCCTGGCAGCTTGCCTGCTCTGGTCTAGAAGCAATCAGTGGCTTCATCTTTTTCTCCGGGAATCAAGACTTCCTAGACAGAATCCACTTTCTGGATGTGGTATTCGGGTGGTCCCCAGGTCCTTCCACTCCCAAAACATTCCTCCTGCCTGTGGACAGTGGAGCCAGGACAGAGGCTCCTCTGACAAGGACCTGCCCAATGCACAGCTCAGATCTCAGCCCCTCAATAGGGAACATCCTCAAACCAGTTCCTTCCCCCAGAGCAGGCCTCTGGCCCCACCACTCTAATTCATGACTCTCTCCTTTCTTGGTCCCCATCTACCTGGGGGCCTGGCTTCACCATCTGCTGTGTGGCCCCCATACTAGGGCTGACCACTGTGCATTCCTCCCAGTGCTACTGCTGCAGAAAGCCAATTTGGAGACAGAAGTGGCAGGGTCTGAGGGCAGATGGAGGGCTCTTTCTGGGCAGGGTGCACAGCTCTGCCTGATGGTTATCCAGAAAGCTTTGCCACAAATGCTGCAGTGGTGGCATCTGGGGTCCGTGTGGGTCCTGCCACAGATCTTGAGGGGCATCAGGTTGGGTAGACATTTGGGGCGAGGGAGCAGGAATAGAATCCAGTGGTGTAGGCCTTCTGGAGGTTCAGCAAGCTACCAGCACAGGAGGAACAGCCACACTGGAGGGACTGCTCATCTTCAGCCACCGTGGACTTCACGTTTTTCCCTCTGCTAGTTATCCCAGCATTCTCTCCTGGAACCCTGGAAGGTTTGGATGGAGTCTCATGGGCTTAACCAAGTCGGCTCACCTGGGCCTGTTGTCCCAGCTCTGGGATCCCTGGCCTCCGTGTGGAGTAGCATATGGCTGATACCCCTGGCATGAGTTTGCAGGTGGCTGGCCTGTTGACAGTGGGACTGAAAGGCCCTGCTGGTCAGGGCTGGCAAAGGTCTAAGTGGCTACGTAGTTGTGGCTACAGCTCTTAGTAGCCACAGGTTTAAGAACTTGTGGAGCAGGGTGGATAATAGTTGCAATTTGTCTTGCAGGCATCATGGAAGTTTAAGAGGCAAACTGGCAGGAGGTCCTGCCCTATTGGCAGCAAGAAAAAGCTCCCTAGCTGATGCTGAGAGCTACTATCTTGTCTCCGCTGTCCCGATGACTGGAGTCCAGAGTGCTAACTATCCCCAGGACTCATACTGTCAACCAGCTGGTGGTGCCAAGGGCTCCTGGGGCCACTGTCCCAACTCTAGGACTGGTCAGCAGCTGACCCCAAGGAACCTAACCTTCAGTGTGACTCACTGGTCTCGTCTTCTCACCACCCATCTGCCTTACATGTGGTCCCCTCAGACAGTGGAGCTGTCACTTCTGTGCCTACTGCCCGGATGGCGCTCTGACTCTGCTCAACTGGCCTCATGGCTCCATCCTCCAGCTGAAGTAGTGTCTCATTATCACATGACCTGACCTTGAGTAACTGGGCCTCTGCTCGGTTCCCCTCACTGACCCGTGTGTCTCCCTGCTTCTTGATGGTCTCCTCATGCTCCTGCGGGTGCTGCTCCCAAGAGCCCCAGCCTGGGAAGCCCTCCCCACAGAGGGCACAGGGAACAGCTGCCCACTGGGAGAGCCCTACCCACCGCCTGAGTGTAGCCTCTGGTGGTTACCCAGTGCCACGTGGTTGGAGCACGTCTTGGGGTATGTGGGGCAGCTGTACTGGCCTGTCTCAGGGATGCCAGTGTGGTAGGAGGCTTGCTCATACTGCCTGCTGTGGAAAGGCCGATCTTTCCAAGTCAGCTTCTGGAAGCCCCCAGCCCCATGCCGCTGTAAGTGGACTTGATGGTGGTTGGCCAGCTGCTTCCGCAGGCGGAAGGCCTTCCCACACTCACCACAGCGGAACTGCCTGGGATCCGCCGGTGGTTCTTAAGGGACATGAAGTTTGAGAAACCCTTGGAGCAGGCCTGGCAGCCGAAGTGGCCAGTCTGATGGCTCTGGCGGTGGTTGATCAGGCTGCCTGCGTGCTTGTAGGACCGGCCGCACACCTCACAGCCGAAGAGCCTCTCTGATCTGCCTGCAGTCTGGCAGCCTTTCTCTGCGGTCTCCAACTGTGGATCCTCTGCCTCCTCCCACTTCCCAGTGGTCTCTTCCCAGGTCTCTTCTTTGATCTTGGCCACTTCCTCCAGGGGCTCCACTTTGAGCTCTTCCTGAAGCTTTCCTACTTCTTCCTGCGAGCCCTGGCCTTCCTCGGCTGTGTTCTGAGCCTGACTGCTGCCTTCTACCCCTGGGAATGGCCCCACTTGGGGCACGGAGCCTTTGCAGAAAGGGTGGCTTCGGAGGTGATTCCGGTAGGCAGCCAGGTTAGGGTAGCAACATAAGCACACCAGGCAGGTGAAGGCTCCAGTCTGGTGGATCTTGCGGTGATTCACCAAGCTGCCCCTGTGCCGATAGGTCTTGCCGCACTGGTTACAGCAGAAGGGGCGGGGCGGGGCCTCCAGGGAATTATTACTACCCTGCATGCAAAAGCTGTCTGCAACTGTGGCACCTACTCCCTCTCTAGACCTCACGTCTGCACCCTCCCCTGCGACTGAAGAAATAGCACCCTCATAGACATCATCTGTAACCATCTCTGTGCCATTACCTGACTCTCCCACGTGGCTGGGTGCTTTGTCTATGGTGTTCCCCAAAGCACCACCCAGGCTTCGGTGGTGACGCTCCAGGCTGCCCAGGTCATCGTAGGTCTGACCACAGCAGCCACAGATGTGCCCATAGCCTGCTCCATCCAGTGCTTCCACCTCGCGCTGCAGCTGGTTCAGGAGCTCTGCTTCCAAGAGCTGCAGAGGAGGGCTTCGGGCCGTGGCCGCCTCTGCTGCACCTTCCTCCTCCCCTTCCTCCTCGGAGCCCTCCGTCAGGGCAGAACAGCCGTGAGCCTGGAGCCGGTGGAGCCTGTAGCCAGCCCGGCCAGGGAAGATCATGCCACAGAGACAGCAGAGGAAAGGCTGAGCTGGGCTCACCTCTCCAGGCCTGTGGTTCCGGAAGTGGCTGCGCAGGGCAGGCAGAGAGCCAAACTCCTTGGGGCAAAGAGAGCACTGGTAGATGCCGGGTGGATGGCAGGGCCGATGGTTCAGCAGGCCGGTGGCGTGAGGGAAGGAACGCCCACAGTCAGTGCATGTGTGGGAGGCCTCAGCCTGCCACCCACGGACAGCATCAGTAGAGTGGGGAACAGGCTTGCGTAAGTTAATCACTGGTTTCCGGTCTTCATCCACACCGACGGTGAGGCCATGGCAGAGGCGAGCCCCACTGCTGTGTTTAACTAATATGTTCACCTTATCTAGACGACGGTTCTCCTTCCTTTCCACTCCGTCCTTGTCGTCTCTGCTCTCTCTCTCTCTCTTTATACAGGCCTCAGACCTCTCGAGCCCATGCTGCTTCCCCTCAGAGTTGGCCTGCAAACAGCCCCCACCCAGGCTGTCTTCAGCTCCACTATGACTTTCTCCTGTAAGATCTTGGGGAAAGTCTGGGTTCTCATCATCATCATCATCCACATCCTGGGCCCAGTCCTTCTCAGATGAGGGTTTGGCAACCCCACTGCCACCAGTGCTGCCAGTGCTGCCAGTTCTCCTGCGGCACCGGCTCCGGCGCCGACTGTGGAGTCGCAAGTGGTTCTTCATGGCAGCCATGGTTGGGAAGTGCTTGGCACAGGTCCCACAGCGGAAGTCGCCCATCCTGTGGGTCTGCCTGTGGTTGATGAGGCTGCTCGAGTGCCGGTAACTCTTTCCACAGTCTTGACAGGCAAATGTTCGAGGAGGGGACACTGTGGGCTCCGGCTGGTTGTTTTCTCCATTCCTTCCCCGATGACTCTGGCTGTGACGCTCAAGGCGCTCAGGGTCTTCAAAGACCATCCCACAGACGCTACAGATCTGGGGCGCTGTCCCATCTGCCGCTGGGGGAATATCAGTAGCCTCCTCCTCCTGCTTGCATTCACGCTTTGGCTCCACACGTGGGGTCGCTTCTGCTCTTGCGCTGCTGTGGCTGGGGGGCTCCTTGGCCCCTGGGCCAGCGTTGCGTCGCGCAGCCTTGCAGTGCATCCGCACGTGGTTGCGCAGGGCCATGAGGTTGGAGTACTTGCGGGGACAGAGCGAGCACTGGTACTCTCCCGTCCGGTGAGTGTGGCGGTGATTCACCAGGCTCCCCCGGTGGCGGTACGCCCGGCCACACTCGGTGCACTTATAGGGGCGGTGATCCACAGGGGTGGAGCCGTCTTCGTCTCTGAAGGGCTCACGCGGCTTATGATGAGCCCGCACGTGGGTTTTGAGGGCAGCCGCATTGAACAGCTGCTTGGAACAGACTGGGCAGGGATAGATACCAGTCTGGTGGCTCTTGCGATGGTTAATGAGGCTCCCAGCGTGGCGGTATGTTCGTCCACATTGCTCACATCGGAAAGGCCGGTATTCTTCCAGGGCACTGTCATCCAGCTCCCCAGAGCTGTTCAGCAGCTGTGTGATAGGAAGCTGGTTCCGACTGCCCTCAGCTACGTGACCATTGGTGGTTGGCATCTCCTTCTCGTCCCATGGCCTGTCTGACTTCTCATCTTCATGGGACTGCTGGTGGTCCAGCAGCTCCCGGGGAAGTCGGAAGGCACGGGGGCAATGGGGACACCGGTATGGCCGATACTGGGCATGGAGCCGGGAGTGGTTCTTCAGGGCCATTAAGTTAGAGAATTCCTTGAAGCAGATAGAACAAGGGTATATGCCCACGGTGTGGCTCTGGCGGTGGTTGGTGAGGCTGCCGGCATGCTTGTAGGTCTTGCCACATTGGGTGCACTTGTACCGCCGCTCCTCTGCAGCAGGAGTGGACGATGTGGGCTCCTGACCACCTGTGAAGTTAACAACTGATTCTGCCAAATACTGTTCCAAGTTGCTAAGTAGGCTGGTGGCTGGAGTGGGAAGTGGTGGGGCTCTGGCAGGGCTAGTGGTGGCCCCCCAGTGTTTTGTGCCCTCCTGGGGATCTGGCTGGCTTTCCCATTCTTCCCTTGGTTTAGTAGATGGATCCTCCCAATTTCCTGGAGCTGCCCTGGGCTCAGGCCCAGACTCGCAGGTGGGCACCTCCTCGGTATTCTTTGTCTGGTTTTCCCAGTCATCCTCAGGGCCCAGCTTCTGGCCCCATGAGTTGGTGGACACCATCTCACCCTGGAAGCATGAGGGTTCTTCCTTGGGGCGGGGAGGCCTGTGTCTGCGGCGGCCCTCCGGAACATGAGTTCTTATGTGGCTTTTGAGGGCCATAGGATTTGTGAAACCTTTGCCGCAGGTGGTACAGGGGAAGAGGCCCGTCTCGTGGGTCAGACGGTGGTTGATCAGGCTTCCTGGGTGCCGATAGCCCCGCCCACACTGCTGACAACGATAGGGCCGGGAGATGCTGTCAGTTTCTTCAGTGTCTTGGCTGGGAGATGGATGGAGCAGTTCTCGGTGCCGTACTAGTTCTGGGAGGCTAGGAAAGCGGCGCTGACAATCACAGCAGCTGAATGAGGCAGGCACGTCCTCCATGGGGCAGCGCAGCAGAAACCTGGAGGTTCAGGAAGAGCACGCAGGTAACAGCAGCATCTTCCTCAGGTAAGGGGCCAAGGCCTAGGAAAGAGGGGCAGTGGTCAGAAAGCTGCCTGGAGTATCTGTGCCTCTTGGTTCTATCAGCCACAAGTTCACCAGAGAGCGTCCTTCAGAGATGTACTCTAAGCAACAGTGCCCGAGGACCTGGTACCTATCAGAAAGAGAAACCACCATTTAAGGCCTTCCTACACTTAAGATCCCCAATATGGATGTTCCATGAGGCCCAACTCTTGCCCAGAGCTACAGTTAAGGAAACTAAAGTCCAAAGAAATACAATCTATCTCTGATTACAGATTCATCCAGAAGACCTTACTTGTCCTTAAGCCTGTATACTCCATAATTCTGAAACAAATTTCCTGTAACATCTTAAAAGGAAAGCAAACATCCTTCAGGCCGCTCAATAAGACCATTCCATCATTCTTCCTTTATCCCTCAGCTCAGAGAGAGGTCTACTATTAGCCTCTGGTGGTGGATGTTTGCTGCTATGGACCACTGAGGTGGAACCAGCCCACAGCTGACTCTCCAGTGGGATTTCAGAAGCTGTAAATCACACAAGAGGAAACTGAGCATCTTTCTTCCCTCAGAGCAGCTGCTGAATTTTTAACCACCTGCCTAAGTGTTGGCAGCGCAACTTCCTAACCACTAGGCCACCAGAGCTCCCTCGAGTCAACGGAGCCAATAAAAAAAGCAGCCTTTCATCAATGACTGTATCCAAACCAATAAAAAGACGGGGGAGGGGAAAGCAGTCTTGCTCTAGTTGACATCTGAGGACCTGAGACGTTGGAGATCCCCTTCTAAAAAAGGGCTGCCTTGTTCTCCTATTCAGCCTCCCAAGGTCTCCTTCCTGAAGGACTTTCTTTGCCACTTCCTTTATTTACCTACATCCTCTGAAATCAAACAGTCTTCCATCTGGAAACCTCATCTTGTTTCTGGTTGCTCTTCCTCTCCTACCTCTTCATTCCCAAGCCGCCTCCTCTGAGCGTCATCACTCTTTTCCAGTTTTTCCACTACTACCGCTCTTAAATCTTGGTTAATGACACAGCAACTCACGCTAACTGAGCATTATCTCGTGGCAGGCACTCCGGTAAGCAAAGCTCATTGTCACTCAACCCTCACAATTCACGTCAACGTCTCTGTAATCCCAATTTACATATGAGCAAACCCAATGACTCAGGCCGTCTTCATTCCAAAGTCCTCGTCTCTTTCTCCACACCTTCATGACGCCTCACCTTGGCCTTCTCCGACTGATTCTTCACTCCCATGGGATCCCATAATCCTATCTCTGCCTCCACTCAACCTGCTCTCTGAATTTTTCAACTCACAAAGGAAGACTTCGCGAAAGGGTCTCAAGCTGTACCCTATCACCACCAGTGGTCTTTCTCCTCATTTCTTCGGCCCCTATCCCCTCCAGATCCCCATCTCACACCAGCTGCCCCTTCTCTTCCCGGCAGCAGGCGCGTCCGTTGGGGACTGCGGGCGACCGGCAGTGGGGCAGCGAACAAGAATGCGCCTGCGCACTGGGACCCTTACCCTAACAGCAGCCGCGAGCCCCAAAGGGCGGGGGACTCTCGCGCTCCCACGTACGCACTCTGATTAGGATTCCAGGAAGATACGCGAAAAAGAAAAAGGGGGGTAAAGGCGAAAGAAGTGGGGGAAAAAGAGAGGAGAAAGATGAGGGAGCAGCTGGCACGAAGTGTACTCCCGAGCTCCGCGGACACTTCCTATTGTTACTAGGAAACAGGAAGTGTCCGAGCCGCAAAAGCTTCCCCGGGAAACCTCAGCCTAGGAAACACTTCCTGTCCTGCCTCCCAAGAGTCGCCTTACGAAGACACACTTCCGGCGTTGGGGGGTGGGGGGGAAGCAGGCGAACGCGATTTTGGCCCCACCTACGTGGGTCACAGCGCTGCGGTTATACGCACTAACCTTAGCCACACTTCCGGCGAGAATTAAAAATCGTTAGTTTGAATATTAGATGAGCACAAACGTGGGGGAAAGTGATCTGCGGCTCTGGCTTCAGCACCTTGGCCACACTTTTCGCGGTGCTCCCTGGAAGACTATTCCCGAGACGATGGGGAGGGGAGCTTCATTAATTAGCTTCTCGCTATTGAAGGATTTAGGGACTACAAAACCTGAGCGTGGCTTTTCTCTTCTCCCCCTCTCTTCTTGCTTCTTGAAGACATTTCTAGTGACCTAGCCCCAAGCTAAGAGCAATCGTCAGGTGTATGCCATAAATCTGTTTGGCGTTCCTTACCCTCAGGACCCAGAGGCCCCCGGCAAGCTGATTCCCCAGCACCACCGGCTAGGAGTGCTACCGTAAACCTTTCCTTCCTCCCGTGCCGGGGAAAGCGCCTTTCTACTTCCGCTCGCCGGCTCCCGCCTCCCCGCCCCCTTCCCGCTGGGTCCTAGTGCCTGCCCCCTTCTGGCTGTGTCCGGGGCTCAGTCGTCTCGAGGAGCCACCGCCGACATCGCGGATGTAGGCCAAGTCTATTCAGGTAGGAAACGCCAGAAGAAAGCCACGGTTCCGTGGCCTGCACCAGGGCAGATGGGATTTGCGCGGACCTCAATTTTCCAGTGGACGCCGAGGGCGGAAAGGGCCGGCTGGGCGCTGGTAACGCAGGCGGGGCGGGAAGAGAGCGGCCCTAGGCGGGCACGAGCGGGCGCACGGCCCAGCGGGTCCTAGAACCCGCCGGCTATCCTCGCGGGCCAGGTGAAGGGGACGCCCGGGCTCGGCCAGCGCGGCTGCCCGCCTTGGGCGGCGTGGACCCGGGGGTCCTAGAGCCCGTCCTGTTGCGGGCTTTTGTCCCCGCCGCGCGACCAGCCTAGCCGGGCCCCCCTCCCCCGCCATGTCCCTAGCCGCCCCTCCCGCGGTCCTAGAGAACGCCATCTTGCAGGCCTTTGTCTCGGGTCCAGCTCTCTGTCCATTCATTTGTTCATTTACCTATTTATCGTTCCTGTTTTCTTGCCACATTCTCCGAGGCCATGTTTTCCGAGAGCTTATTCCGAGACAAAGTCTATGACCCTGCCCTGTGAGAACTGTCGTTTATAGACAGAGCAGTGCGACGTCGATCCAGGACTTGTTTGTGCAGCTCGGGGCCCCACCTTAGCCTACCTCATAGGCCCTGATGCCCTTCAAACTCCTACAAGCCTCGGAGGTTACGGTTTAGTAACAAGGAACCAAGACCCAAAGTGCTACCCTACCTCCAGTGCCAATTAAATATCCTCGAGACACCAAATCTCAGAAGCGCTTTCCTATGGGAGAAAGCAAGAAAGATGTCCAAAGCAGTGGGAACTATATGTGGAGACGCTTGAAAGTGGAGAAATAGGAAGATTGTAGCTGGTGGGGGAGGGATGCGGAGGCTGGAAGAATAGGTTGGGATCAGGTTGTAAAATAACCAAACTTAAGAGGGCATTAGCTCTCGCCTCTGCGCTTGCACAGCTCCGCCTTTGCCAATACACCTCATTTTTCACAACCATAGATGCTTGTCTGGTGACTGCTTGCTTGGGGCAGTGGGGACATTGAGGTGCAGAGATGAAAAGTGGCTCTTTTCCCACCCTGTCCCTACCCTGGGTAGGAACCCAAGCTCTGAATTAAGTCTGCGGTCCTGGCAACTTGGAGCAGGTTCAGGCAACACCACCTCATTCCCTTCCAAAGCCAATAGCACAACACAGGGACCTGTCACAAGAACGATGAGCCTTCGGATACTGAGGTCCTGAACTTCATAAAGGCAGAAGATTAATAAATAGTTGTAATCGACATTCATACCAGCCCCTTTCACTAGACCTGTAGGGAAGATGACCTCCAGGTCCGTGTCACCACTGCTATAGGTTTAAATTCCATCTCAGAAGTTGATTCCTTCAGTTTGCTTTGGGACTGCCAAGCACACGTCTAGATATAGAGGCTCTAGGGTGACTAAGGTTCACCAGGCTGAACTCCAGTAATGGAGCCAGAATGAGCGCACAAACCCTAAAATGACTAAATACAAGCAATCATCAAGCAGAAGTCTGCAGGACTCAGATCACCAGACTTTAAATACTGGCTGTGACCATGAGCAAATTACTTATCCATAAAATGGGGAAAATAATCCTGCTTAACTTTAAGGCACCATGAGGTTTAGCCTAAATTGTACGTGTAAAACACATAGTATGAGGAGCTCTGGTGGCCTAGTGGCAGGATGCTGCGCTGCAATCCCGAAGGTGGGCGGTTCTAATCCACCAGATGCTCCACTGGAGAAGGAGAGACAGTCTTCTCCTGTGCCAGTCAGATCCGATTCAGCAGTACCCTCCCCCAAAAAAAAACAACAAAACACCAAAATAAGAACACCACATATCATATTACCTGGCCAATGGGATGCCTGCAAAAATTACATTATCCAGTTGAACACCATGAAAGGAGATAGAAAATAATCAGTGGGAGCGTGGATGTCTTTTTTTTAAATTAAATTTTATTAGTTTTAATGAACATTTACAGAGATTTTGGGTTTTCATTCATTCATTGTTGCACTGTTTTCTCCACCCTCATCCCCAGTTCGTTC